CCTGAAGGCATCAAAGGTGACCCGCTTGGTACCCGGCAAGCCCTGGCCTCCATGCTGGCGATGGCAGTGATCATACCGCCGCTTCTGCAACCTGTCAGGCGACTGAGTCTCGATGACCATCGGGCACAATGGGCAAGGCCACCGAACGACCGGGCCAACCCGGTACTTGGACGTCGTCAGCCGGCCCTCCACAGGTGTCGGGGGGTCGGTGCACCCCGGATCGGACGGGGATGGCTCGGTCGCAACTGGGCCCACGCCATCAACGCTAGCCCTTGCCACAGCCGACAATGACACCCAATGGTTGGTCTTGACCCTGAGCCGGCGACGAGGCGGGAGCAGCACATGCCGGGTAGAAGGCGCCGACAAAGATCGAAGATCAGCAGATGTCGGCCACGACCGCGCAGGACGATGAGCACGAGCCGAGGCCACGTCACCCCCCAGCGAAGGCGGCCCGGAGCACGCAGTGGACAGGTCGTCAAAGATCATGTGCCCCCCAGCCACCGGAGGTCCAGGAGCAGCGTCCTCGGAGCCACCGCCCCGAGCCAGGGAGCCGAGCCGACACTCGAGGCAGCATCGAACACCATTGCAGGAAAGCCACCATCGGGAACCCCAGCCGCCGGCACCTCAGCAGTCACAGAGGCTTCGGAAGCCGTGTCAATGCACATGAAGCCACCGCCGCGCCCGCCCGTAGTGTGGCCGACGGCAGCGTGGCACCAAATGTCAACCAGGGCCTCCGGCGAGCACTTAATCCACTCATAGTGTTTCCCGCTGAACTTTAGCACAACAAACGGGTCCGAGTCGGCCTGGCTTGCAAACTTAAACGTGGTCTCCGAGTCAAAGTCGAGGACGAGGAGGTTGGCCGGCAAACCCCGGCTCAGAGCATACACTTCAAGATTGCCGCACCAAGCGCCCACCGCCTCCACAGCCGAGAGGTAGTCCGCAAAGGAAAGCTGGCAGGGCTGATCACTCGTATCCCGGCCGTCCCATAGAGGCTGCAAGTGCAAAGCTTGTTCCCGCATCCATCTGGCCATGGCTCGGCGAACACCACGGTGGCTGATCTGCTTGCCCCCATGAGAAGTCAAGGCCTGTGCCACAGCCGCCGGGAGACAATTGCCACCCCCGTCATTGCTGATCACCGTGGCCCCCGAAGGCAATGTGAGCTTCGGCTGCTTGGGCTTCTTTGCGGCCACGGCCACTGCAGCCGCCTGCCGCTTGTTGCCGATCATCGGGATGTCACCGGCCTCGCCTTCACTCTCCCCCTCGCCATCCAAGGCAATCAAGTCATCGAAGGGGTCCGGTGGCAACTCGGGGCCATTGCTCGCCACAGCCCTCGTGCCTGTGGCGCCTTTGCCGGCGCCTTTGCCTCGGGCCTCCGCATCCTGTGGTTTCACCGCAACACTCTGCCGGCGCTCTGGCCTGATAGCCTCGCGCTCCCGATCATTGCGTCCTTGTCTGCGGTGACGCGAGGCCTCCAGCTCAATGGTGCCGAGCTCCGCGTCAACGATCTTGATCGGGACATAGTCCCGACGGTCTGCTCGAAGAGCCAGGAAAGTCCACCGAACAGCCCGCCGATCACGATAACGAGCCTGCACTTCAATCTGCTCAAAGCCCACGTCCTCAAGGACCTCCTGGATCTCATCCACGTGCCAGTGAAAGGGAACCTGACGAAGATGCCACAAGCCCTGCCGCGCTGCATTGCGAGGGTCCCGGGGGTCGATCCGCACCGCCAGCCTCTTGCCGTCGTGGAAGAGGCCCATGTCGCCGGAGAGAGCGACGACGCGCCGAAGGTATTGGCACGGCATTTCATCCGGCTTCTGCGGCCTCCCAAAGAAGCGCGGGCTGGTTCAGCGTCAGGTCAGCCCAGTTGAGCGGCTGAAAGAAGAAGGTTGTATCACCAGCGCACCGACCACCAGCAGCCAGCAGCGCACGCGCAGCCGACGGCGAGAGTCGGACAAGACCCTTGACGACACCGGTGGGATGCAAGGCCTGAGTGTCCCCCGTCTTCTCCCACGACCAGCTGTCCAGCAGATCGGCCGGCGAGCCCCCGGCACGAGTGAGCCACTCCCGGAGCGCAGCCCCAGGTCGGTGCAGCACCCTTTTCCACCGGTCCGTGGCTGTGAAGCACTGAGCGCAGCTTGCTCTGATGACGACGGAGTTTTGGTAACTCGATCTCCTCTGCGGCGGGCGAGCTTCAAGGAAGTCGACCTCAACGTCCAGGGGAAGCTCGCCCACCTCTGGCTGACCTCGCTGCATGGACACCACCCAACACTTGCGCAACTTGAGGCTACCTCTCAAAACGCCCGGCAAACTTCGGCGCTCGACCGGGAAGTCACCCTTCAGGTTGTCGAGCTCCGCCGTCGCCTCGCCATCATAGACAAGCAGCGAATGGGGGTGACAACCGCCGCGCATCAGCTCGCCGAACTCCTGCAACTCCTGGGGCTTGTCGGTGTAGACCAGCACCCGCCCTTATCAAGCTCGCGCTCCAGGTCCTCCGCGGCGGAGATCACGACGGAGAAGTTGAGGTCTTGGGGCCGCAGCTTCCATTTGATCTGCTGCCAGCCGTCTCGCTGCCAACGCCGGGCCCGGGCTCGTGGGGCCGGCTCCGGCCCTGGCGCCTCGCCTTTGCCCTTGCCTGTGCCAGTGCTCTCCGACTTGCCTTTGCCCTTGGGGGTGGATTGCAGGCCTAGAGCAGAAGAGGCCAACTCAGGACTGTCGCCCCCAGCCAAGCCACGGGATCGCCGCCATGGTGGTGTTGCCTTGCCGTCCTTGCCAGCTTTGCCACCGCCTTTCTCGCCCTTCTCGCCTTCAGGGGCCCCCTTCGGAGCCGGTCGACCTTTGCCCTGATCGGGCGGTCCCTTTGCGGTCTTGCCCTTGCCTTTGGGCGTGCTAGGCCCCTGGTCTCGTGCAGCGGGAGGCGGCCCGAGAAATTGCTCAGCCAGCTGCAGCACCATTGATTTCACGAGCCTCTTGATATCACCTTTGGTGAGGCCTGCCGCCTTGGATCGGCGTGGTGCCTTGGGCCCTGGATGCGAGGCCTCGCCAATCCGCATCCACAACCACTTGTCAAACCTGAAGCTGTGCAGCAACGAAAATCGAACCCTGGAAGAAGCCGAGCCGTCGATGACCTTGGTAAAGTCGACACCGATGCCCTTCTCCCCGGCGCCCACACCCGGAGAGCAGCCAACACCATGAACTCGCGCACCAAGTTGCTCCCAGTGCGCCCGTGCGGCGTCAAAGGCCGCATTCGCGACCAACGGCGGCTGTGCCTCATCCGCCTGTCCCGTACAAGATCCCGCTGGTGATGCCCTTGCCGAACATTGCACTGCCCGACCACCCCGCGAACCACATCGAAGTAGTGGGCTCCATCCCCGGCCTTTCCGTCCATCACTGCGCGTCGGTGCGCGCGCCACGGCCGCACCATCATCCTCTGGCTGCTTCGGCCGCAGCAAGGCCTGGAAAGAGGACCGGCCGTCCCGCAGCCGTCGTCTCTTCCGATTCCACTTTCTGCGTCTGCCAGCGCGCCACACCGCGTTGAAAGCGACGATGCGACGGCGAAGCGCCCGCCTGTCAGCAGCGAGGCCAGTCTCTCTGCGGCACTGCCTCTCACGGGCAGCTTTGCGAAGAAGAAGGCGTCGAAGGCGAGCTCGGCGTGTGAGGCCGAGCCTCCTGAGATTCTGGGTCTGCCGGCCGCCCCGGCCGGTGCTCCTAACTGAACATCCCCACTTCATCAGGAAAAGGATCAAGTACAAGACGCTCGCAAACCCAAGCGAGCTCAGCACAGCCATGGTTGCACAGTCGTATGCTGCGCCTCGAACCGCCACGACCACAAAGGCCAGGCAGAACCACAAGAGCAATTTGTAAAGGAAACAGGCGCACCTCGAGAAGGTTTGCTCACGCGCCCTACTACTACTACTACCACCATCACTTATAGTACAAAGGCTAGTACAGTAATCTCATTCATATTCACATTAATATAATAAGTATGATACTAGTACTAGTTAG